TTTACAATTCTGTTGTTTTCTTTCATTGAATACTGATGGATTTTGCATGTTTTTCTTTCTGCCTCACCACCCTTCACCTTGGCTCTGACTTCCTTTCCTTTCTGAACTCCTTATTACCTAATCTTCTAATGTGCAAGTTAGGTGCTGTGGGTGGGGACTCTCAGACACTGTTACATTTTTTTTTTCAATATAAAGATTCAAGTCAATCTTTATTCAGTAAAGTTCTTTTGATAGAATTAAATTTTCAAAAATGTTCAAATGTTCTTTTGTTTTTGTCCTTCTTAGAAACTCACGGTGATGATAATATTTTCTTCTTTGGGGGCTAATAATTACCTTTCTTCTCTTGCATGTTTGCCATAGTTCTTCCCTGTTTTGTTTTGTTTTTTCCCTCTCTTCTCTAACATATCCTGCCTTCCTCACATTCCTTCCAATTCTTTCATTAGTTCTTTTATGTGTCCTGTTTTCTTTTCAAATTCAATTCTACATGTTCATTTATATCATAGTTCTTTTTTCTGAAAACATTGTGAAATATATTTTTAATTTATTTTTTATATTAATTATAGTTTATTCACTTTGTATCCCAGCTGTAGCCCTTTCCATAGTCCCCTCCCAATTCCACCCTCCCTCCCTCTTCTCCTATGCCCCTCCCCCAGTCCACTGATAGGGGAGGTCCTCCTCCCCTTCCATCTGACCCTAGCTTATCAGGTATGTTCAGGACTGGCTGCATTGTCTTTCTCTGTGGCCTGGTAAGGCTGGACCCCTCAGGAGGGGATGATCAAAGAGCCAGCCACTGAGTTCATGTCAGAGACAGCCCCTGTTCCCATTACTAGGGAACCCACTTGGAGACTGAGCTGCCATGGGCTACATCTGTGCAGGGGTTCTAGGTTATCTCCATGCATGGCCCTTGGTTGGAGTATCAGTAAAGACCCCTGTGCCCAGATATTTTGGTTCTGTTGCTCTCCTTGTATCTCCTCCTGTCACTGGCCAGCAATGATACGTGAATACTACCTGAGAGAGGGTTAGGAGAGAGAGAAAGAGCAAGATGACACAAAGAAGGACACCAAGTCTAACTGCTGATTGAGGTGTCAGTTTAATGGACGTCAGGTTAAGACTTAAGTAGGCAAAAAAGTACAAGCAGTTTCTCACACAGGAGCTTTACTTGGTCAAAACCTAGGAGAGCTCACTCAAGGTTACACAATCTGCTCTCTGGTTACTATGGTAACAAGGAATTTACCTTCTAGTTCTCAGGGTCAAAGCCCTCTGCTGGAGAATTGCCAGGGTCAGTCTATGAGAGACTGGACTTTAGATTTAGAGGTCAAATTCCACTCCTCAGATGCACATTCCAAATTGCCATTAACTCCAAAAAGGCTGCCACAATTCCTCCCTTTCGAATTAAAACACAGGGACCGGGCCTGTCTTAGGCGGAGTGATTCCAAATAAATACCCATCCACCAGGGGAGACTCCTGCTTATAAGGGGACTTCCTTGTCTTAGGTGACCATCTATTGACCGCCCATCATTGACTAACCAGCCATCGCACAGGAAAGGAGAGGCTAAACCTGACGTTTGAGCTGGGCAAGCCAAGCCCCTACCGAGGGCGAGGGAGTTACTGCATGCAGCTGTTCAATGGCCAAAAGGACTTTGTGCATGGTGTCATTAAATTTGGCTTGGCACTGTGGAGCTAAGCGGACACGTCTGGCAATTACAAAGATGAATAGTACCAGACCAGCCAAACAAAGCTGTGCTAACATGTACAGGGAGAACAAGAGGGGGACTGGGCACTAAGGCCCAAAGGTGTAATTCAGCCTTCACTAGATGAATCGGCTGCAACAGGATCAGCAATATTATCACTCGGGAATGATCTTGTACCTACATGTAATCCACTTGTTGCACCAGTCTCTCTGGCAGCCATCGAACAGCATCTTCAACCTGCGGAAAAAACACAAACATATCCTCGTCCCCAAATTAAAATGGGGTCAGGTCCCTACCGTGTATTATTTAAGGGGTCCCTACATTTAACCATGGAGGTTTTGGATTTAGGTTGCCAAAAACGTTCAGCTGCAGATTTGCCATGTTTGTCCAGAGTTAAAAAAAAAATTTCAAAATAAAAAGTACATGATTTAATTGAGCTCTGGATGAACGAGGAAGACATAATTCCCCCTTTTTTGTCTTTTGTAAATACATCTTAATGGTGGCACAGCCCTCCAGGTGTTTCATCTCCCCCTTCTTTCATCAGATTCCCTGCACTCTTTTGTATGTGGCACTTTTCCTTGGAATATACCACACACACACACACACACACACACACAAATACACATGCACACACACACACACACACACACACACACACACACACACACACACACACATCTATTCACCTCAGAAAGGAAACACAATAGAACAGAGTTACATTTGCACCAAAATCAACTTTGTAAAACAAAGAGTTTTTGTTGGGATTACTAACAAGAATGTTGGTATAAAGGGGTTTCTTACAGAAACAGAGATAACTCAAAACAGTACTATCACCAAAATGGCCACCCCAATACTCATGTTGACTAATGAAAGCTACAGTCCAGGAGCTCTCTGTATGACTGACTGGAAGGAAGCTACGGAAGTCCCAGCATCTCCTCTGAGCATGGGGCTGGTCATTGTTCTCAATGGTAGTTATTTTTTTGCTTCTAAAACAGCACTCTACCCCCTGTTCAAAAGAAGCCCATTGGCTGCTCAGTTTCCAAGTAGGTTCCCTAATAAGGGGTACAGGAGCTGTCTCTAACATGAATTCACTGGCTGGCTCTTTGATCACCTCCACCTCAGGGGAACAGCCTTGCCAGGCCACAGAGGAAGATGATGCAGCCATCCTTGATGGGACCTGATAAGCTAGGGTCAGATAGAAGGGGAGGAGGTCCTCCGCTATCAATTAGGGAAAGGGCGTAGGGGAAGAAGAGGGAGGGCATTTGGGACTGGGAGAAGACAAGGGAGGGGACTGCAGCTGGGATACAAAGTGAATAAATTGTAATAAATAAATATTTGAATTAAATTAAATTAAAAAAACAGTACTGTATCTGTCGTTTTCCTATGTTTTCCCTTGGTATCTTCATATCATTATTGAATATTAGTTACAAAGTTTCTTTTCATTTATTTATTCAGTTGCTGTCTACTTTCTGCTACTTTTTTGGCAGCTCCTTGTGGCTTGTGATATTCACATGTGCACAGGGTTGCTACTTTTCTTGGGAGTTTAATGAAGACTCTTCATGTTGTTGCTTCCGATAACTTCCACTCATTTTGTCATAGTATTCTTTAGAAAGGCTTAAGTGCTGGTAATCCACATCACTTAACAAAGGGGAAATTTCGCCTTTCTTTGAATGCTTGACAAAGGTAGGCATCCTAATTTTTATTTCACGTTGTCAATTCAGTACTTTAAATGTGGTTTAATTCTTGTTATTTGAAATTTTTCTTTTTTTATAATTTTTATCTTTTTATATTAATCACAGGTTATTTACTTTGTATCCCAGCCCTAACCTTCTCCCTCATTTCCTCCCTACCCCACCCTTCCTCCCTCATCTCCTCCCTACCCCTCTTTAAGTCCACTGGTAGGGAGGTCCTCCTCTCCTTCCATCTGACCCTAGTTTATCAAGTATCATCAGGACCAGCTGCAAAGTCCTCCTCTGTGGCCTAGCAAGGCTGCTCCTCCCTCGGGGGTGGGGGAGAAAATCAAAGAGCCAGCCATTGAGTTCATGTCAGAGACTGTCCCTGTTCCCCTTACAAGGGTACCCAGTTGTATGCTGAGCTGCCAGGGGCTACTTCTGAGCAGGGGTCCTAGGTTATATCCTTACATGGTCCTTGGTGGAGAGTCAGTTTCAGAAAAGATCCCTGTGCCCAGATATATTTGGTCCTTGTGGAGCTCCTGTCCTCTCCAGGTCTTACTAACTCCCCCTTCTTTCATATGATGAAATTTTTCTTTGTGAAATTAAGGTGTGTTGTTTGCTGAATGGGGTAGGGAGGCACATTTGCATTTCCTCTTTGGTCAGATTTGTGCCCTGTTCAGGGAAGTATAGCTCTTGGAACATTTCATTATTCTGTCTTTGAAAAACAAACAAACAAAACTACTCATAATAAAATCCCTCAAAAATAGCAAGATCATTTCTCTCCCTGTTTGTCATTTTCTCTGTAATTTGGTCTACCTTTTTAACACACTATTTTAAGTGTTTATAAACCTGGTATATATTACTTTGTATTTTCTTATTTTGCTAATTTTTAAAAGAAAATATTTTAAAATTATTGAAAGTAGAGAAATCATGGTTGGGAACACTACTTTTTTCAAGGTTTGATTGATTGATTGATTGACTGATTGTTTACTCTTCATTATTTTATCTTCCTTCTAATAGAGACAAACATAATTCTTTCATATATAATCTATATTTTCAGTCTTGCCCATTAAAATACAGTTCAATGCAAACTAAGTTCAAATGTTAGGAATATATTTCCTTAGGAAATTATTCAAACACTCTAGGTACTCTGTTGAATCTTGCTAGGCCATGTCTCTAGGGTTCTATTGTAAAATATCATGGGATAGTTGACTCTGACCTTTAAGCTTCAGTTAGTCATTTAAAAGCAAAACCCCCATTGATGCTCTTCTAAATCAGTTGAAGATTAAAAAAAAAATCACTGAATAAGAAAATATTAATTGTAACTATATTTAATTGTACTAAAATGAAACAAATAATGTGAGAAATTGATTTCCCTTATTTTTGATAGTTTCCTTTTTTAGAACATTTATTAAGGAGCTTTAGAGCACTACAGCTGGGCAGATATTGATCTGTTCCTACCCATCTATATATCCTGGCTACTTCCCAACCATGTGCCCCAAGCTCCTGGCCATCTCGTCTTTTCCCAGCTGCCCCTGCTCCATGACAGTTTTGTATTCTATTATGTAGCATTTATATACTTAAGGATTTGGTAACTCACACCACAATTTATGCCTGTTGTTATCTTATATTTTAGGTTAGTGGGATGGTTTGGCCATGAACTCAGTACAAGATTTAAGATGGATAACAGTAAGTACATTCCACTTTATTATATGCAATTTCGTTTTGACTTTGTTCTAATTTCCAACTGCCTTTGTTTTACATGCAATAGACATGCCCCATGGAGAATGCACTTTGAAAATGTCACTGTGGTTTCCAAAATAAGAAATGACATTTCAGTACGTAAGGCTAAGTGTTTATAGATTTAGCATGATTTTGCATTTTATCCCTTTGAAGAGAGATTAAAGGAAATGAAATCTAGCCTGTGGCTCATGTGGCTTGGTCAGATTCCCAAGTAGGAATGGCCAAAGCACAAGCAGTGAAGGCAGGGGACAATTTGGTGATTGAGGCCGGAGCCAGAGAAACATGAGTGTCAATCCCACTTTGCTGCTGAATGGTTCTGTGATAGTGCCAGACACTGTTTGTTCTGTCCCACATGTTTGATGTGAATAATGTTGACTTCAGTGTTTGGTTTAGGAGTAAGTTAAATCCAAAACTACAAACCCAGTGGCGTACTACAGCACTTTTAACAAATGTTCACGTCTGTTCTTGTTCCAAATATCTCCTCGCTGGGGTATTTGCCACATACCAGAGAATAAGAATCCCTATAAGCAGGTACATCAATAGTAGTAAGGAAGCTCTGTCATGCACTAGGGTGACATTTTTCCTGTGATTGTCGTCCAGCCTTCCAGGACACAGGAGACATCATGAGCATTTGCCGGTTAAGCATAAACTCAGTGTTGTAGAATGCATGCATAACTTAGGAACTGTTTATATGTCTTTAAATTGGCAACGGCCAGATAGCAAGGGTTCAGACGAATGATGCCAGCCAGATCAGAAGCCTGTAATGTATCCAGCCTGCTAACCTGTTAACGGTGATGGCACTCACTTCAATTAACTGAGGAAAGGTTTCTTATCAGTCATGACAGGATTTGATTATGCCAAGAACAGAACTGGCCCTCTTGCTGTGACACAGGAGACAGAACCTATTTTAAGCTGTTCTGCTCAGCTCTGTATTTGTGCTAATAAAGCAACCCACATCAAGGCACGCAGAAGTCACTGAAACCATTGTCCCAATAAGCTTTTACTTAAAACAAAACTACTTAAGACCATGTAATAGACTGAACATTGTCTATCAATCTTATTTCAACTAGCCCAAGGCTTGATAACTTTCAAGACCCATGACACTGAACACAATCGTCTCAGTTTTAAGTTAATTTCTAGTCACCCTAATGTTACTAGGTTTAACATACTTCAGTTCAACGTATGTGATCAGGTTAGGGGACTACCTGCTATGCCTTTATTTTCTAACTTGTCATACATAGGCAGATCTTTTATGACCTCTTTTTTTCCTAAGAAAGCCATGTGACCTAATACAGTTCTTAGAGCAAGAAACCACCTCTATGGGTCATTTTGTTCATCTTTCTGCTTTCAGGTGACACTGGATCACAGGTCTTCACAGCTTGGTATTCTCTCTGATGACAAAACATTCCCAATATTTTTAAAGGCACACTGTAAAATTGAAACACTGGCTTGGAACCAGAAAGACAGAGTGTATGGTTTAGACCATTTTTATCTTCTGTGTAAGGGCTCTAGTGTCACATCAGCTGAGAAGGTTGAGACTTTGTCATGGGACTTGCCAGTAGAGGAGAAACATGCCAGCATTTTCCCTCTATCCAATTTCTTTTAAAAAATAGTTCAGAAATACCACCTAGGGGAAAATGGCTTTATGTTTTTGAGACAGGGGGTTTCTCAGTGTAGCCTTGGCTTTTCCGGACTTTGTAGACTAGGCTGGATGAGAACACACAGAGACCCGCCTGCCTCTGCTAGGATTAAAAGTGTGCACCACCACGCCTGCCTGGAAAATGGCTTTAAGTCTAACTCTTTCACTACTGACTTTTTTTTTTAAAATAGTTAAAAGCCTCTTTTAAAGTATGTTCTAAATAATAACATCATATTAATTTTTCAGAACTGCAATTAATCCCAGGAGCCAATGGATTCCGAATTTCCAACCCTCCCATTCTGTTGGTCTGTTCCTTGCATGCTAGTTTAGAGGTAAGATACCTGGGCTTCTGCCTTCCCACATCCTGTTCTGCTTACATCTCCTAGTTATCACAAGTCCTGAGGGCTTCCTGCTAATCAGAAAGACCCTAAATTAGAGTAAGCAATGGAAAAGTGCAATATTTTCTATTGGGACAGTGACTACGACTGTGACCTTGCTTTTGTTTCATTTGCTACCTGGACCTCATGTGGGAAAGACATGTTTGTTGCTATTCTACTGAGATGCGCATGGACTTGACTGAGTCAATGTTCATCTTTTGATAAACCACATAGGCGTATGATATTTCATTCTAAGTTAATTCAAGCTGGTATTTATTGAGAAAGACTTGCCAGGCATTATTGTGACTTCTAGGCCTCCTGCTACCTCAGGTTCTACAAGTCAAGAAACTACCAAAGTGCCTTGTCAAAAGGTAACAGGAGACTAAGTTTGTAAGGTAACTGTGAAAGATTGAAGTAACCATACATGGAGTAAGGTGGCCTTCTTCAACAGGATAGATACTGATCTTATTGGGGTGACTATGTCATTGAATCCAAGTATAATCTCTAACCAGTGCTTTCTTTTAAATTAATCCACACATCTGTCTAAATTGAATTTCACTCAGTATTAATATTTACAAAATCAGTTAGGCTTATAGATGTGCATGTACACAAAAAAAGACATAGATATGTGAACATGCCTAGAAACCCAAACTGTTATGTCTTTAATATCATTTAGTGGTATTCTAATTTCATTCAAGTAAATATGTTACCTATTAATTTTACTTATCAAGTGATTGAATTTATATGGTTAGAGGGTTTAAGCATAGAGGCTGTCCTTCCAGAGGACCTAGGTTTGGTTTCCAGCACTCACAGACAGCTCACAGTTGTCTGCAGCTCCAATCCTAGAGAATCCAATGCCCTCTTCTGGCCTCTGTGGACACCAGACACACGTGTGGTGCATCGGCATGCTCACAGACAAAATGCCACACACATGAAATAAAAACACATCTCCAAAGTTACATATTTAATGCCAATACATATGTTAATCGGGTAAATTTGACTAAAACGTACTTAAAAAAAATCATACCGCCTTAAACAGATGTCAACTAAGATTTGAATTCATTTCCTCAATGCCTTCTAAAGTCATCTAATCCTGATATTTTAGGAAATCCTGTTGTGCAGGATTTGAGTTTGAATGGAATGATTAGAAAGAAATTATGTCTTCTAAGCTCAAAATAGAGCAGTTTATCATTCTGGCCACTGGGTGGCATTAACAAGCTCCTGGTTTTGTACGCCTTCACCTCTACATGGCTATAACTGCCTTTCCCGTTCCAGCCTAGTTTAGAAAGCACCTACCCAGTTTGACCACTAGATGGAGCGTGCGCTGCTTTCACCTTTTTGGACTGTTTTGTTTTGATTAAAAAAAAAAAATAGAGCAAGTGAGATTATTTTTCATCTAGTGTAAAACTTTTTAAAGGATTTTCTTTTTGGAGAAAAAGTCTGTTCAATACTTTATCTAATGATATTTAGTAACTGTCAAAAATATCTAATAACTAGTATCCATGAAAAATGCTGTGTGTAATGATTTTAAAAACAGCAAGTGTCAACTCAGTTTGCGGGCTTTTAAAAGAAGAGCTAATCAGGAGTGGGTGTATTGTCTTCCTCTGTGGCCTGGTAAGGCTGCTCCCCCCTCAGGGGAAGGTGAACAAAGAGCAGGCCAATCAGTTCATGTCAGAGACAGTCCCTGTTCCCATTACCATGGAACCCACTTGGACACTTAACTGCCATGGGCTACATCTGAGCAGGGGTTCTAGGTTATATCCATGGATGGTCCTTGGTTGGAGAATCAGTCTCAGAAAAGACCCCTGTGCCCAGATATTTTGGTTCTGTTGCTCTCTTTGTGGAGCTCCTGTCCTCTCCAGGTCTGGTGAGGCTTAATAGACTAGAATTAGAAGGAAGAAAAGGAGGACTTGGGGAGGGGCATGTGTGGAGAAGGGGGAGGGAGGGAGGATTTGGGAGGGGTAAAGGGAGGAAGCTACAGGGGGGATACAAAGTGAATAAAGTGTAATTAATAAAAATTTAAATATATCCTTTAGAAAAACCTGAGAGTTATAGAAACTTTATGGCAAAAATAAAAATAAAAAAAGGAAGAAGAGCTATGTATGAAAGCAGCCAAGACACACCCTTGGGAGCTAGGTCGCATTAGCATTCAGTTCATTTCTTCTGATCTCCCACATCTACACATTCAGATATTTCTTTTTCTCAAGATAGATGACCTCCAACTCAGTTGCATCTACCATTGGAGTGGGGTGATTCCAGCCTGTGGGGGCACAGCCAGCTCCTCTCATTTAGCAAACTATCTGCACAGAAGGGAGGCAGAGTCTCTTTCAGGCTACTACTAGTCTCCTACCATGACAGCTTAGAGCCACCTACTTCAGCTTCCCACTAAGACTTTGAGGTCTGACTCACATTTCCCTTTAATACCTGAAGTTAAATTTACCAAAAGAACCTTAGAGGCCACCTGGAGCAGGGCACAAATTCTCAGCAGCTTCTTGAGTCCTGTTGCAGCCATTCATTACCAAGGTTTTGTTCTGGTCAAATGATTTTTTTTTTAATTTTTAGTTGTTATTTTTTTATATATATTTTGATTTAAATAATGTTCCTTTCCTTTCTTTCTAGTCCTTTCCTCCAACTCATTTTACGCTCTTCCCCAACTGACAGCCTCTTCTTTGATCATGACAGTTGAACACCGTACTCAATCTTTGGACTGGCTAAAGTAGTTTTGAAATTTTTTCCTCCCCATTTTAAATTGCAAAGATTTAAAATAATATAACAGCACACACTACCCACCCCCACTCTCTGTTGTCCTCGTTTCCATGTATTTCTGAGCCCTGTCAATAAGCACTCGCATGTTCAACTCCTTGGTTTTATTTGTTCATACGCTTTGTTTGTTTATTCCTGGGGCAAAGCCATGCTGTGGAGATGTGGAAGGACAATGTCACAGGGAAGGAAATCCGAAGGGGCGTGTTAGGAAGTGGGTGCAGAGTGAAAAAAGCTGAGTAGTGAGGTGAGAAAGGTGGCGGGGAAGGCAAGCTGGAAGAAAGAAAAGATAAAGGACCAAAGAAATAAGAAGAGAGTGGGGAAGGGAACTAAAACATGGCCGATATTTAAATGAAAGAAATAAATGACTTGACCTTCTGCCTTGTCCGTTTTCCTCTAAAAACTACTCAATATACTCGAAAAACAACTGGAGGATTCCTTCAACAGGACAGGGCCGGAGAGATGGGTCAGTGCGTAAAGTGTTAGCTGCACAAGCCAGCTAACCCATGTAAACAAGGGTGGAGAGAGCAGGGTCTTCTGCCCTCCACATGTGCTCCACGGCACGTCTGCCCCCAGCCAACACATTGAAAAGTGTATCCATATGTCTGTTTACAACCACATTTGCCCAACTGCTGCCTTTAAAGTAGTTCCTGTCGTCAGTTTTGAACGGTCACCTCATTCACACTGCTGGACTGAAGTCATTCCTACAGCCATCTCAATTACACGGTGGCTGAGGAGGAGGATAATGCTGGGAAGGGGCCAGCACTCCACTCCCCAGGAGACATTAAGGATGCCCTCAAAGGAACAAAAGTGCTCGTGACTACATTTGCTCCTTTGTGTTTTGAAGCTGTCTGGGGCAGTGAATTCCAGAAGTTTTCTTGGTGTTTTGATTGCTAAGGTGGAATTTTTATGTATTTTCTATTTAATGTGTTCTCATATTTTTATATAGCAAAAAGGATGCGATTTCCACACCTGCTCAGTGTGTAAATTTGTAATGGTATAAACTCTTCGAAAATACATGTTAAGTGTTCGGGTTGATTGCATGGTGATGAAGATCAAGACAGCATCAAGGACAAATACAAGGTGTTTCTTCACAAAGTATACACACCTAAGTTTAAAAATTTAAGAGAACCCAGATAGGCATGGTGGCTCACACACTATATCCCAGCATTCCAGAGGCAGGGGCAGAGACAGGTGGATATATATGAGTTCCAGAACAGCCAGGGATACATAGTAAGACTCTGAGGAGAGAGAAAAAGAAGAAGAAAAGAAAGAGAAAAGAAGAAATAAAAAGGAAAGAAAAATGAGTTGAAGAGAAAAATTTAAAACTACATTCTATATGCTTTTCCTGCTTAAGAGTGTACAGCCTTCCCATCCTGAGGGTCTAACCTTTCTACCTTGGGGGTCTAACCCCGAAAGCTTGAGGAGCTAACCTTCCTAGTCTTGTGATTATTTCATACAATAACAACAAAATAAAGCAAGTAAAGAAACCTGCCAAGAAAAGCTATAGAATTTTGTAATTGTGGTTTTCAACTTTCTATAATAAAAAATAAAAAAATACATATTTTTGATAAAAAAAAAAAGCAACAGGGAAAATAGGCACTTGATAGAGTTCCCTTCTGACTCTTACTCTTTCTTAACTCTCCTTCTTCATCCCCTCCTCCTCCTCCTTCTTTTCCATGCTGATGATCAAGCCCCTTGGACTTAGGCAAGCATTCCAGCACTGAGCCCATCTAGCTCTCTTAATAACTTCATGTGGGACTTCAGAACAAACCTCTCTGCTCTGTGAGGACACTTTAGAGAGGGTCAGGCCATGTAGCTTGAATGTGGTCCCCAGTATTTGAGTGTGTGGTCCCCAGCGGGTGAACCAGTCTTAGAAAGAAAGTGGACTTCTGCTGGAGGAAGCTGGTCCTAAGGGCAGACCTTGCAACTTCCTGTTGCATGCACATTTCCTGTCTGCCCTGTTCCTGAATGTGGGCACAGTGTGACTAGATGTAGAACCCTTCTTAAACTGTGAGCAGGTGTAAACCCTTCCTTCCTCACAGTTGCTTCCTGTCAGGTATCTCATCATAATTCTACAGAAACTGTGTCTAAACGGACTATAGTAGCCACAGTCGTTGTGGCTGTGAAGTGGAAAATAATCTTACATTTATTTGTTTTTCTCTGAAAGTGAAACCATTTTGTAATATAAAAAACAAAAGTGGTTGACAGTGAAGACAATGACATATGACATTTTAGTTATAAAGGAAATTGGGAAAAGCAATTGTCTCATCCTTTTAAGAACACTAGAAAAGTTAACTAAAAGTCTCCAGTAGCATCATCACCTGCAGACACAAATGAATGATTAAAAGTGGACACCTTGCCCTCCACGCGCCTGGGGTTTTCCTTTATGGACTCTACGCCCAGGGGAAAACATTCTCCTCATATAGACCTATTTTTCCCAGATGACACAGTGTTTACAAGTAGCTACACAGCAATTTTGTTGTGCTGGGTACCAATAAGTAGGATCCTTACATATTACAATGTGTAAGAGGATGTGTCAACATCACAGGAAAGTCCAATGCTGTTATCTTTAATGAGCTTAGGTACTTGCAGATGGAAAGGGGCAACTGTGTATTTCACACATTAGCCTGTGGGGCATATTTGGGGGCCATTTTCTGAACCAGAAATTTGTATAGAATAATTCATTTAAAAAATATTTGTAGAAAATGATAATCTCCAGAGAGAAACTTGTGCTAATGAATCTCACAGTCTTTGTTTCAAACCTTGCAAGCCATGCCTTGCCAGTCTGCTCCTGCGCTTTGGGGAATGTGATAATGGAACGCCTGACTGGCTTCCCATGCACTCCACTGCACCAGCATCTTGTTTTGCACAGGAAATGAAACTCCCAGTAGCTTGAACCCAACATCCTGAAGCTGGTGGTGTTGGCACTCAGACCTCAACAAAGACACCTGCACCTGCCTTTGCTTGCAGCTGTCTCCCTGCAGCTGCCTCTGCCTGCAGCTGCCTCTGTCTGAAACAGATGCATTCACTTGTCTCAAACAGTACTTACCTTCAGGAATTTCACAGCTATATGCATTGAAGTTCTAGAACAGACACTAGCCTGTGTCTTCAGCTGGACCTTAACTGGCTCAGACAGTCCTAACTTTCAGCAAATCCATAGCTTACATACTGTACATACAGAGAAATCTTTGCTTATTCTTTCAAATCTTATTAAAATGCCTTCTCACACATGCTGTTTCATGTCTTGATAAAAGCCAGATACCACTAAATGACATCACCCATATTTGTCTTGATATTTTGGCTTATGTTTTAGCAAAGGACATTAAATGGCATGCCATATACATCATGCTGTTAACACTTCTGGCAGTTCTTATATGGAGGATACATTTTTAAACAAGACAGAACATCACGTCTGTTCTGGCCGTTAATGTTACAGAATACTGTAGACCCTTGTCACTCATTGTGATCTGTCCCTCAGGCAGTAAACGGATATATTTTGCTAGAGTTTTTCAAGGAAAGGAGAGGTGGAATGTAGTGGTGACTAAATTCCTCAGCAACAATAAAGGTTTATGCAACATTATTAACTTCCTGGGGGGGGGGGGAACAGCTCTATAATTTAACTTAAGAAAACACAAGCCAGGTGGCCCATACCTTTAATAGCATCACTTGGGAGGCAGAGGCAGGTGGATCTCTGAGTTTCAGATCAGCCTGGTCTGCATAGTGAGTTTCAGGACAGCCAGGTACAGAGAAACATTATTAAGAAAGAAAGGAGAAAAAAAAGAAAGAAAGAAAGAGAGAGAAAGAAAAAGGAAGAAAGAAAGAAAGGAAGGAAGGAAGGAAGGAAGGAAGGAAGGAAGGAAGGAAGGAAGGAAGGAAGGAAGAGAACAACTGCGTTGAGAAAATGCAGTGTTCAGCAAGACATTGTGGACAATATCAGCAACCATATTCACACATGCATTTTTCTTGCTTTGAACCTTTGGTGGACCATACTACAGAAGACAGTTAAATATTCCTAAACAAGATGATTTTCTTCTCATGCAAATATTGTTTAAATGACATTCACATCTATTTTTCTACCATGAAAACTACCTTCTCTCTTTAATGGGAAAGCATTGAAAAAAACTTACATTTCACTAGAAAAAAAAAAGATTTTCTAAAGATTGATGTTTCTTAAAACATCCAAAGTAGGAATTTCCATTTTTCTGTATCATTTACATTTTAGTTTGTTTCTCTGTAAGTTAGTAGCCACTGCTAATCTGATTGTTGTTCTCAGGTCTTTCAGCAAGCAACTGTGCCAGCACTGAGGAGAAAATCCATTCTGCTGACAGGGTATCTGGAATACATGCTCAAGCAATACTGCAGTAAAGAAAACAGGGGGCCAGTTGTGAACATAATCACCCCGTCCAGGGCCGAAGAGCGTGGCTGCCAACTAACACTGACCTTTTCCATTTCCAGGAAAAGTGTGTTTAAGGAACTAGAAAAAAGAGGAGTCATTGTATGTATACGCTAACCTATGTCTTGCATTGCAACACAGCTTCTCTTTGGCTTCCAGGCCGGGACAAGTCTTAGGTTACTAAGCCTTCTTTTCATTGCACATCATTTTGATAAGCTGAAGTAGCCTTCACAGTGACTTTTGGAGAACTGACCTGTAGGGAAAGAGGTACATGAATTGGGCTGCATTCCATTCATTAGCACTCACAGCTTTAGACAGGTTATCTTGCTTAAGCGCTCATGCTATAGTATCACACTATTAGCCAAACTGAGCCCCTCCCAACCCTTGTGCTCTCAGAAAATCCATGATCCTTTGGCTTGAGACTTCTCATCTATATTTTGAGTTTAATAACACTTCTAAGAGTCATTACAGGAATTTTAAAAAATACCATATTCAAACTACATTTACTAATGTCTGTAATGGACATTACTTAATGTTAACAATGGTGATGAGTAGGCCAGGCAAAGTTATGAGGTGCTACTTCCAAACCCATCAGCGGTCCCTAGAACGTATAGACAACTCCCATCTCCATGGTCAGTCAGGGATTAAAGAATTAAATGAATGGTGGTTTCTAAAGCTCCTAAAATCTCAGTGAAGCTCATGGTTCCATCCATCCTGGAGCTTACCCTCTAGAAAGCTGACTATAGGATCCATCTCTCAAAGATAGCTCCCAGTGACTTCAGAAACACAATTTGGGCATTCACATGGGAACCCACTGCCAGTGTCATTATTATGAAGAAAGTTAGGTTAACAGAGACATAGCATTTTACAATAACAAAAAATTGCTCATGTATTAAGTTTTGGGGAAGTCATGATCTATGAAATTTTCTCATGAAAGAATTTTCAAGTGTGAACATCACTAAGATGGTTATTTTATTTTTTTTCCTCTCTCTAGTGTGACAAGCGAGAACCAGATGGCATCCGTGTGGCCCCTGTTCCTCTCTATAATTCTTTCCATGATGTTTATAAGTTCATCAGAGTGCTCACTTCCATACTTGACTCTACAGAAACTAGCCATGTTTTCTAGAATAAACTCAAGTAAACTGACAGATGTTGTGGTTTTCACTACTACTGAATTTTAGTCATTGAAAAGTACCTAGAAATTAATTGCTTAGAACTGGTAATAATTATAGGAACTTAGCTAAAACTTGATACATGTTTTCATTTGTGTGTTGCTGGGGAATGTAGTGTCTTGGGGACTGTGGAGTCATACTTTATATGACTCCAACCTCTAAGTCACTGTCTTTATCAGCTGTCACATTCCATGGTCACTGAAAGGTTTTCCACTTAATTGGTGACTGAACTGACAACATTATAATGTATGTGGACATCTTGTATAAATGTTGGAAGTATTACTTTAATTTTGATGTATTAAAGAGTTTTACTCTTAATACTTGTAACTGAACCATCTGAAATATGTTTGATATTGTGATGCTTCATCCAATTCTAGAAAAAGAAAACATACTCCCTATGCTATTACAATCTTGCATTTGTGTGTGTGTGCATGCATGTGTTGTGTGTGTGTATGTGTGTGTGTGTGTATACCTATGTAAGTGCACATGCATAAAAGGTGAGGAGGGTACTTGGGCCTAAATGCTCATGTGAAGCCAGAGGTCAACACTGGGGTTCTTCCTCAATCCCTGTCCACCTCAAATTGTAAATTTTTATTTTTTATTTATTTTTATGTGTATGGCTGTTTTGCCTGCACGTATGTCTTGCATCATGTGCACACTGCGTCTACAGAAGCTAGAATATGGCATCAGATCACCTGGGACTGGAGTTACAGTCAGTTGGGAGACACTACATGAGTGTTGAGACTCAAACCCAGGTCCTTTGGAAGAGTAGCCGGGGCTTTTACCCTCTAAAACATTGCTCCAGCCCTTCTGCCTCGTATTTTGATTTAGGACCGCTCACCAAACCTGGAGCTCACTCCTTCTGCTAGTGTGGCTGACCAGTGAATCTTCAGAGTTTCTCTGTCTCTGGCCTCTCCCAGGAATGTTAGGTCACAGATGTACATGGCTACACATAGATTTTACGTGGGCGCTGGGATCTGAACACAGTCCTTATGTTTATGCAGCAACCAGTTCATCCACCAAGCCATTCCCCAGCCATCACTTTTTGATGCCACTACTAGTACGTATTTATTGGCAAAGTATTCTAAAACTGTACGTATGAAGGACAAGATATATTGATTACAACATGATTGGTGATACCAATTTCATAAACTTGAATGAAATACAGGAGCTCAGACAGCTACTTTTGATGCAATAACTAACAAGATGGGAAACTGAGGCAATAGCTAACAACACATACCACACTATTGTTTACCTAGCAGTTCAAGTCCAGGTGTTCCATGCATATCTTGGTTAAAGCTCTCCACTGCATTAACTTACCTTCATTGATGGAATGGCTCTCAGGAACTTGAACCTCATAAAAACATTGATTCCTATATGAGCTTGTTTTTGAGTCTCACAGTGGTCAACAAAACAGGAACAATTCCCATTTTCAAGGACCATAGGACCATGGTACTCAGCCATTACTCATGGAAAAAAAAATAAAACAAGTGCTTAACTACAAATGGTAGTGAAGAGCTTAAGTTAGCTTGGGTGACTCCATTTTGAGAAGCCATCTTGTACACACCTGTGATCAGGGGGGTGTACTCAGGTACCAGGAAATATCACAGAACGTGCACTTGGCAGTTAGCTCTCCTAGCAACAGCTTCCAGGAAATATCACAGAATAAACACTTGGTAGGAAATAGAGATAATTCCCCTGCAAACCAATCAGAATCAGGTGGGAAATTTATCCACAACATTCCAGTGTAGTTTAGAAGAATAGCCATTGTAGTTAAGCTTCAGCTAAGGGGTCACCACGCCCCTATGACTTTTACCCAAGCCTATAATGTCAAGGCATGGAACCCCCTGTTCACTCTGCCCAACGTTTGGTTATGAGTCTCAGCATCTGCTCTGATACACTGCTAGGTAGAGTCTTTCAGAGGCCCTCTATGGTAGGCTCCTGTCCTGTTTCTTATTTTTCTCCTACTTCCAATGTCCATCCCATTTGTCTTTCTAAGTGAAGGTTGATCATCTTACCGTGGGACCTTTTTCTTGTTTAGCTTCTTCAGGTGTACATATTTTAGTATGTTTATCATATCTTATAGGTCTAGGATCCACTTATAAGTGAGTATATACTGTGTGTGTCTTTCTGCTTCTGGGGTACCTCACTCAGGATGATCTTTTCTAGATCCCACCATTTGCCTGCAAATTTTATGAAAGAAGGGGGAGTTAGTAAGACTTGGAGAGGATGGGAGCTCCACAAGGACCAAATATATCTGGGCACAGGGATCTTTTCTGAGACTGATTCTCCAACCAAGAACCATGCATGGATATAACGTAGAACCCCTGCTCAGACGTAGCCCATGGCAGCTCAGCATCCAAGTGGGTACTCTAGTAAGGGGAACAGGGACTGTCTTTGACATGAACTCAGTGGCTGGCTCTTTGACCACCCCACCTCTGGGAGCAAAAGCCTTGCTAGGCCACAGAGGAGGACATTGCAGCTAGTTCTGAAGAGACCTGATAAACTAGGGTCAGATAAAAAGGGAGGAGGACCTCCCCTATCAGTGGACTTAGAGAGGTGCAGGGAAGAGGTGAAGGAGGGAGGGTGGGATTGGGAGGGAATGAGGTAGGGGACTACAGCTGGGATACAAAGTAAATAACCTGTAATTAATATTAAACAATAAAAATTATTTAAAAAAAAAAAACCCTGTTCACCACTTCTTCCCCTTTAAAAACCCTGGTCCCAGTTATCTACTGCTGTGTCAGGGAGACTTGGGTCCCATGTTCAAACATATATACAATAAACCCTCATGAATTTACAGCGGAATCCATTCCTGATAGTCTTTGGGGGTTTCACAAACTGGGCATAACAGTAGCTTCTGTTGATGATGCCCTAGCTGGCTCTGCATTGTTGGGATAAACATTGTGCTGGCTAGTGTTTTGTCAGCTTAACACAGGATAGAGTCATTTGGGAAGAAGGAGCATCAACTGAGAAAATGCCTCCACCAGACTGATCTGTACGCAAGCTTGTGTTATGTTCTTAATTAATGTTTGCTGTGGAAAGGCCCATCTCACTGGGGCTCATGCCACTCCTTGACAGGTGGGCCTGGGTGCTATAAGGCTGTCTGAGAAAGCTATGAGGAAAAAAAAAGCCAGTAAACATCATTCCTCCATGGCTTGTATTTCAATCTCTGCCTCCAGGTTTCTGTCCTGACTTCCTTGGATGATGGGCCACAGGCTATACAATGAAATAAACCATTTCCTTTCCAGGTTGCTTTTGGTCACAGTGTTTTATCAGAGCAAATGAAACCTACTTAAGACAAATGTTATGACCAAAAATGACTTAGAGAGGGGGTGGTTTAAATAATCAGGGCAGGAACTCCAGCGGGACAGGAATTTTAAGCTGAAACCATGGAGGCACACTGCTGTCTGGCAGGCCCAGGCTTCTGTTCAGCCACCTCTCTTGGAGAGAACCCAATCTACCCAGGCATGAGGTGACCAACAGTGCGTGGTTCTCAGACATCAACTAGCAATCCATCCAACACCTACAGACATGCCCACAGGCCAATCTGCTAGAGGTAAAATTCCAAACGAAACGCTCTCAGATAAGTCTGGGCTCCTCAAGTTGACAGGTGACACTAAGTAGAATAGATGATATAAATAGACGGCACTACGAATTGGAAAACTTAACCTGCAGGGCTCTAGCAGATGAGAACATAGC